TGACCTCGGTTTTTGTTGCTTCTCAACCCTTTGAAGCCATTTTCTACATATTCAAACTCTGAGGAGTGGGATGTTTTCTACTGGGTTTAAGATCAGCTACACCTCACTTTCTAGGAAGTACTGAAAACCTTCACATAATGGGGTGATGCCGTGCTTCCCAACTGTGTTTGACCAAATAATAATTTTCTGAAAGAAACAGAAACATCTCAAGATGCCACAGAACATAGTCTTTTATTTTTTTTTTTTTTGAATATAGTCTTTTAGAGACCATTAAATTAACTGTGACTATAGAAAAACAAAAATCAAATATAGGTTGAGCATCCTTGATCCAAAAACCTGAAATGGGTTTTGAACAGTTCAGATTTTCCAATTAGGAATGCTCAAAAAGTTTATGCAAATACTCCAGAATCCAAAAACTGGTGAAATCTGAAATGCATTTCCATTCCCAAGCATTTCAGATGGGATGCTCTGTCTGCACGCATCCCACGTGCTATCTTCTCTACAACATAAAAGTTAGGTCCTTCGCTAATCTTTCCATTACAAAGTACCCCCAATTCAATGTGGAAGCAACTGGCTGCTAAATGCTTCACCAGCTTTCTTCCACTCTGGGAAATGAAAATTTTCAGGCACAGACAGCCACAGTGTCAATACTTAGAACCAGAAAGGCCTCCTACAGGGTGGTTGCTTTGAACAGCTTTTTTACAAGGCAGCAAGCAAGGTCAGGAGCATGGAAAGGTAGGAGACCCCCAGGCGGACCCTAAGGTTTGATCTTGGTGCCACGAGAGGCAGTGAAGAGCCAAACATGGGGTGGGCACCCATTGGTCTGCAGCCTGTGGTCCTCAAAGCAGCTGTCAGACCCATGGCCAGCCTTGCATCTGCCACCTGCCTGGTAGGGATTTAGAGCAAGTCAGACTTGCAAACTGTCGAGGGAGGCCTTGTGAGAACAGATGTCCTGAGTGAGCTCACCCTGGGCAGCCATCTGCTTTCCCCCTGGAGAAAACACGCTCCCAGTGAGGACTGAAGAGTAACACCTGCCGCTGCTTGGGTTAGAGAGGTGGCTGTCACCTGAACAGAGCTGGCACAAAGCGTACCAATACAAAGATGGGTTCTCCACCCGGCACAGCCTGCACAGCCAGAGGATTCCCAGGAGTCCTTCTATTCTGCTCCCTGACTTTGTGCTTAGGGTGTAATGACATACACGATCTCACTTGGGCCTTCTCACTCACCAGCTTTTTGTTGACAAAGACACGATTGTTAATGCTGTTGGGGCATCCCATGACATCCACCTCCTGAAGATTGACAATAGGGAAGATGAGCTGGTGACCAGGATCAACTCTTGGTGTACACATTTAATAGACAAGGTGAGTAAATGCCAACCCATCCTCGCTGGCGGGGCCCATTCCTCTAGGTATCAGCCAGAAAGAATGGGAAAATCTTCCCTAGATAGTGCACACTATTTTCAATAAGGAAAGAAAGGTAAGGTTTGTAAAATTCCACAGTGTAGACTCAGTGTTGCTGGCTGGAAACGTTCACACCCACATGCCTCATCACTGGGTGATGAAACAGATCCACAGAATCTCAAATAGATCCACAGACTGAGTAGGCTCTGGAATCAATGAGCACAAAAACGCTGGCGAGTTCACAGAACAATCTCTTTTCCCTCAAACTGGCCTCAGTAAAAGATATTAACCCAAAAGGACAGTAATCTGATTGAAAGCAGTGGGCTTTGCTTTCACTCCCCAGATTCACAAGGATGAGGTCATGAGGAACCGCAGGCGAGTGAAGGAGATCAATCAATACATCGACCACATGCAGAGCGAGCTGGACAACCTGGAGTGCGGGGATTTGGATTAGATACATGTCAGCCAGAGGGTCCCTTCCCAAATGCAGTGTGAGCCCCCATGAGGAAGTGGACACATTCACTGGCTGCCTCAGGACAGAATTATTGACAGTTCCTCAATCCATGTCTCCTTAAACACCATTCTTCCCCTCCCTACCCAGGAGGAAGTTTCAAATGTAGAGTAAAAAAAGAAAGAAAAATTGAGAATGTACATTCATGTATGAACAGGGGAAAAGATGAAAAGAAACAGCAGATCCCTGGCAGCTCTACAAGAGTGGCTCCCAAGGGGCTAGCAGTCGGCTAGACGTATCTGTGACCAAACAGCACACGTGGTCAGGGCTGTTCCCTCAGCCACGCCTAGGGCAGGCTGCACACGTGGGCCCAACCCTCCCTTCTGGGTGCTGAGGACGGGAAAGCCCAAGAGGTTGCAGCTGCCACTACCACGCAGGGGCATGCCCTCCAGGGCAGAGGTTGTGGCCACCTTTGGCTTAGAGCTTGGCTGCAGGGACTTGAGTCTACTCCAGAATTTAAGGGTGCAGAGGGGGCATCTTAACTATGAGAGTAACTCCTCAAGAGTACCATCAAGGGGTTCAGAAAGACAGGACATAGGAAGTGTGAAAAAGGTACCTGGTATGTGGTTAGTGTCCCATGAGTGGAGTGATGCCATCCTGTCACTCAGGTGTGGGAGGGCACGGACCTCAGAAAGCCTTTGATATCTGGGTGTGTTGGCACACACATGTAATCCCAGCATTCTAGGAAGCTGAGCAGGAGGACTGTAAGTCTGAGTCCAACCTGGGCAACTTAGTGAGACTGTCTCAAAATAACATTTAAAAAGGGCTGCAGAGATAGCTCAGTGTGAAGTCCCTGGGTTCAGTCCCCAGTATTGTCAAAGAACCACTCTCCCCACTGCCGTTCCACTGAGCCTGGCACCAGGAGGCAGCCCCTAACTGCCAGGACGGTGGAGGTGGCCAGGATGGAAGGAGTCTCAGGACTGCCGTGTGGAAGATGAGTAGAAATGTGCATATATTAGCTTTCTGTCACTATAACGAACACTTGACGTATCAACTCATAAAGAGAAAAAAACGTTTTATTTTGGTTCACAGTTTCAGAGGGTTCAGTCCATGACCAGGTATGGCCCCTGCTGACCTGAGGACTGTGGTGAGGGACACATCATGATAAAAGTATGTAGTAAAGCAAAACAGTCCGCTTCGTGGCCAGAAAGCAAAAGAGAGCAAGCAGAAGGAGCTGTAGTCCTATAATCCCCTTTGAGGTTACATCCCAAATCACCTAAAAACCTCCCACATGGCCCTGTGTCTTAAAGGTTCCAATACCTCCCAACAGCACCACTCTGAGGAACAAACATTTAGATTCCAGATTCAAATTACAGCAATACATTTTAGGTGACCTTGGCAGGCCTGCCAGGGCTTCTAAACCAGAAACAACTTATATTTTCTATTTTCAAGAGTAATTCATTTTTTCCAAGAACAGCAGGAACAAACAGAAACAACCAGCTTAGACCAAGGACTCGCTTTCAAAAGATTGTTTGATGAAAAACCAGGGAAAAAAAGCCCTCCAGGCAGAGGCTGAAGACACAAATAGAGTTGTCTGCTGGTGACATGATTGTTTCCCCAGCGTGAGGTTTCCTACCATGGGCAGCAGATATCAGAATGTGCCTGGGAGATAAGCTGTTCAACCTTGGTGACAAAACCCAGGCAAAACAAGAATGGGGAAACACAGAGGCACCCATGAAAAAGGGACTTGACACATTTCCAGGGTGGAGCAATATTTAATACCATCAGGGTCAAGAGAAAGACATTTGTACAACTCGTCCCCCGCATTTGATGCTGGCCAGGCCAGGGGTACCTGGGTTGGAATCAGGCTGACCTCTAGACGGCCACACTGTATCAGGGGCACCTCAGGGAAATGCTATGCAAGGCCAAGCCCTGCAGGTCAGGGGAGGCCCATAGTTGCAAGCCAAGGCAGCTCTGCAAGTCAAGGAAGCCCCACAGACCAGGAAAGCCCCAGGGAAAGGAAGCTGTGGCTGTGCAGAGTCCATCCAGCTGGCATGCACAGCACAGGCCTCACTCCTGCAGAAGCTTGTGCTTGACCGTGGTGTTCTCTGAGCAGAGGTGGACAAAGAGGGTGCCAGCAGCGGTGCGGGCCCGCAGCTCCTGGAGCTCATAGTCATGGGCCCATTCGATATTGCCCCACTTCTGGATCTGAGGAGAGGACAAGACAAGCTAGCTGCTGGGCAAGTGCTGAGCTAGCTGCTGACCAGAGCCACACTCCATTCCCAACGCTAGACTGAAGAAGTCAGCTTGGATCTTGCCAACACAGGTGAGATACACACAAAGGGGACAGACGTGGGGGTCCAGGTGGCTAGAGCAGGCACCTGTACTCTCTGGAGCCTGGCTGATCCAGGAAGAGTGTGTCCAGGCCAGGGCCAATGGCTGCCCACTGCTGGGCAGGCTGGGGACCAAAAGCACTCGTGTTCACTGAGGGAGCCTGAATCATATGGCTTCGCTCATCTCCTACTTTGTACAAAGAACCTAGCACGGGGTGGCTTGCAAACTTTCTCTACAGGTGGGCTGCAAGTGCTCCCCATGTGGGTAAAATAAATAAGCAAAGGTGCATATCAGTTCTATTCTAACTCCTGGTGGAATAGCAGTACTACAGAGGCTTCTGCTTTATATGCTGGGGCCAGGCTGCAGTCTCTCTCCAGGACTCTGAAAACAAGAGGGAGGAACCCCTCGACACACTGTGGCTACTGGGACGTCAGTGCAACTCCAACCTGACCCTGCTGGCTCCTGCCCAGCAGGGGCCTTCTCAGAAGGTCAGACTTGGCTGCCCCGGCACACCCAGGAACTCAGAATCTACCATGCCACACAGCTATCTGCACTTCTTTTTTTTTTTTGTCTTTCTGAGACAGGGTCTCACTTGCAGTTCAGGCTGGCCCTGAGCTAGCTCACTTTGTAGCCTAGGCTGACCTTGACCTCACAACGATCTTCCTGCTTCAGCTTCCCAAGTGCTGGGATTACAGACGTGTGCCAGCACGCCCAGCTTATCTGCACTTCTTGCAGCCCAGTCTCAATACACACATCTGTAATAAGTCAGCTGAAGTGTGTTTTCACCTTCAATTTATACCATCCCATCCATAATCCAGGTTATTCCTTACTTTCTGCAGGATCAAAGCCAGAGTTCAGAGGATGATAGCTTGGCTTGGGTCCCACTGTTAAAAGCAGAGCCCAGACCAAAGCCAGATTTCCTGCGCTGACACCCCACAAGTTATCCCCTTCCCATGAAATTTGTTCTGACACCCAGAGAATGGCCAGCCTCCTCTGCTGTACAGGAAGTTTTTTCCCCTGGCATTTTTCCAAATAGAAGACTAAACATTCCAAAAAGGTTTTTATCATACTGGGACCACATAATAATAACAGCAATTAACCTCTGGGTTTAGAGGAATAACAACAACATCAACAACAAAAAGAGTATAAGGACTGCCATAATTTTCAAGTTACAAAATGCAAACAAGTGTTTTAATGCTGAGCCCTCCAAATCAAAACTTGTGTACAAACAGCAGCTGCCCCCATGCTCCGCTGCCAACCATATGAAGTGTCGGAGTTCAAGTGCATGGCTGACTTAAGAGCACAGGCAGGTCCTCTGTTACCCCAGGGCTTGTTCTGCAACTTACTAGGCCCAAATCCTCTTTATCTGCTCACACACCTTAAAGTGCAGAGTGGGGACTGAAAGCCTTGGCCCTAGATGCCCCCAGACCTGGCTTCAAACCCCAGCTGGAATATTTCCCAGAGGTAGGACCTACTGCCTCAGTTTCCTCCCGTGTAAAATGATGACCACAGCCCCCACCTGATCAGAATGCACAGGTAAGGGGTTGAGGGGAGTAGCGCTGAGCACCCTTCTTAACTCAGGGCCTCATGCATGTGAGGCAAGTGCTCTACCACAGAACTCCACTCCCAGCCTCAATTTAACTAAAAAAAAAGTTTTTGCATTACTGGAGAAGAAATCCAGCCCTTGAACATGGCAAACAAGCAATGTACCACCGGCCTATATCCCCAGCCTCGACAATACTATTGATCTTTAATTTTGGTTTCTGTATGTATACAAAAATAATTAAGATCAAATTTACATAAAAATATTTCAGATAGGTTGGCTATCGTATGGGCCTGGAAGGGTGCGGCAGGGACTGAGGTGCACCGTCTCACCTGGTACTCCTCCTCCAAGCGTGACAGCAACACAGCCTGTTCCACCGTCAGGCGCAGGTCCATCAGGCCCAAGGTTAGCACCATGGACTTGAGCTGGGCCACCACAAACTCAATCCCTGTGGGGACACAAACGAAGTCAGGACCTGAGACAGCGCAGCTGCTACAACCTTTCCCATGTGAGTGCTTGCACCCCTCATAGATGAGTGAGTGGGCAAAGACCCCAGGATGGGGAGACAGTCCTAGGGCACACCCGAGGTTTGATCTTACTCTTCTAGATGAGCACTCTGGCTTTCCTCGGAGTGACCTGCCTCTGACCTTTGCTGGGTAGCCACATGACCTCAACTTGGCCAATCAGAGCATCCCTCCAAACCTCCGCCCACTGATTGTTTCACAGGTGAGCTGGACCAGGCCAGTGAGGCATGCATGATCTTGACACGTCTGAAGAGGACAAACCCAATTTTCTGTCTGGAGTGCTGGCTAAAAGGGTTGCCATCAGAGCCGGCCAGCTTTCATGCTCACAGCACTCTGGCAGGGGGAGTGCCCACTTGTATCACACCTGCCCAAGCCCACAGTGTGTACCTTGCAGAGCCCACATATTGTAAGATGCCAGGTGGCTGACAAGCACCTCCCGGGTCTTGTCAGGGATGCTAGGTCCCATTATGCTGGTGGAGGAGCCGATCTCCACGCCATACCTGAAAGGAAAAGGCTGTGACATGTCCCGGGAGCACACACTGCTGAGCATAAATGTGTACCCCTTCAGGGTATGTGCCCCAGGAGCTAGTCTTGGGGGCTCTGGAAGCAACTGCCATTGCCAGTGGCCTCTTGACCTAATTCTCTAACCTCCAAAGGAGCAAGAAAACTGCCCTCAGTGAACTTCTGAATCCTGGGAATGGGGCTCCATTATATGTAACTGCCTGAAATGCTAAGTCACTTCCCTGGAACTGCTATCAAAAGCGTGGGTAATTTGCTTTTTATATCTTTTAAAAAAGTTTTCCCCATTTGAGACCATGAAAGATTTCTTCTAAATATTATTTTTTTTAGAATGTTTGTATGTCCCCTCAATTGTTTTTTCAAATATTTATTAAGGTTCTACCATTGGTTTTAGTCTCCGGTCTCTGGGACATGAGTTGGCTTTGAGAAAAGATACATGTGAAAGCATAACTAGGGGTTGGGGCATGGCTTAACGATAGACTGCTTGGCTAGTATGCTCAAGGTTCCCTCATTAGCACTGCAAAAAAAATTTAATAACTATAAAGACACAAGAAAAACACACATGATGAGGTAAAAATACTTTTTGTAATTTTTATGTATCATTGATTTTTTTCCTATTGGTTTAAAAACATCCACAGTGAAATTCCTAATAGTATAAAGTGAATGTAGGAAATAACTGCATTTTTCTGTAAACTATTAAGGATGGGCTATCTGAATGCCACAAGAACTTGATGATGCTGAATCATAGCGAAGATCTCCAGGAACGTAAATCGGTTTTATTTCAGAAGGTTCCAAAATGTCATTGCATCTTGGTATTTTGCACAAAATATTGCAGGAGTTATATTTTTCTCTGACCCTGGAAAGCACTAGCTCTGCCTTTTCCTTTGAGGAAAGGCCGCCCGGCCCACTGTGAGCACTCAGGAAACAGGCAGCGCAATGAGCAGGCCAGACCGACGGACAGCACTTCTGTGATACATGCCATACCAAAGAAGTATCCAGGACTCCAGGTAAGCTTACAAGAGTGCTGTGGACAAGGCAGTGCCATGAAAGCCATCCCTTCCACATTTCCCTTGGAATAAAATAAAATGAAATTTATTTCGCCACTACTTTATTTCACCATGTACACTGATGGTACATCGGGTACCATCAATTTGTAAAAACCACATACCCATAGGATATGGATATTGCAGAAAGCTATTCTGACTTCTCTCCATGTGCATACATATCTTACATGCTGTTTTGTGATTTTATTTAATAGTAAGGTAACTGTGATGAAGATTAAAAATAATTGCCAGAATTGGAGTATTTACTGTGTATTGCGCAGAATGCTAAGCACTATATGGATTTATTTGTTTACTCCTCAATACCCGGAGAGGCAAGAATGATTAGTCCCATTTACAGACAAGGAAACTAAAGCTCAGAGAGATCAGCTTAGTAGACCAGTCACCCAACTGACCTGGCAGAGCTGGGATTCAAACTAACTGCTGCTCTGACCCACTGGAGGAAGAGGGCCCGAAGCCTACGGTGCTTCTGAGGACACATAACTGCTCAGTAGAGTGTACACGAGTAGTAGATGCATGGTGACAGTACTAAATTTGAGGAGCATTTTCATTTATTTATTTATTTTATTTGAGGCACACTTTTACCAAGTGAACTTATCCTCAAATATGTGAGGTGAGCCAAATCCCAAGGGTGCTCTGAACTCAGCGTGGCTAGCTAAGGGTTGTAAGTGTCCAGGTAACCCCCTGGCTCCAGCACACCACCCAATACCTAGTCCACTCCATGATTTCTTGCAGGGCTGTACATCTTACCTCTTCTCAGCCCATTCTATGATTGGATCCCACTCGTTCTTCTGAAGTTCCACTAATGTCTCTGGCTCTTCTACTCTGTAGCTAATTCAAGGTAAAAATCACCTTCATTAATAAAATAGAACAATTCTTTCATTTAGTGATAGAAAAGGAAAAACACAAAAGGCAACAGTAAAAACCTTCTCACCACCCCTAGTCTTACCCCTGGTTCTCAAAGTATGGTCTTGAGGTTTGTGGCATGGGTCTCACCTGGAGACTTATCAGCAAGACACACTCTCAGGCCACATCCCACACCTACAGGAATCAAAACCTCTGCGGGTAGGGCCTGGCCACCTGAGTTTTAACAAACCTTCCAAGAGCATCTGAATTCAGCTTGGGTTCTCAAACCACTGTCCTGCCAGGTGTGGTGGCCTCACCTGTAACTCCAGCAATTGGGAGGAGGACTGCTGCAAGCTGAGGCAGGAGGATCACTATAAATTGGAGGCCTGGATTCACAGTGAGATTAAAGCCAGCCTGAACTACATAATGCCATCTTGCCTCAAGAAAACAAATCAAAACCCAAAGAACTTTTCTTACAAAGCAAACCACTGTCCTAAATGTCCCCCAACATGTGACAAGTCCAAACCTGTAGCACTACATTAGTGCGGTTTGAAAGCAGATGCAAGGTAATAACCACATCCTGGAATCGACACCCGCTGGACGTGAACACTGGGCCAGAAGCTTAATAATGGCATCTGTGCCCTCATCCTTCCCAAGACACGTTCTCAGCTACAGACCACATGGCCTCTCTATCGTGTAGGAACCCACCTACCTGTTGGCCTAGATGCCTGACTTGAGGGGGCCAATCTACAAACCAGGCTGTGCCATTTTCGTCTTTCTACATCGTCCCACATGGGGGGATGGCGGGAGGGGGGGGCTCTGGCGTCCCAGTCTTCCAGCTTTTATCCCTGGTGGTCTGACTTCTTCCATTTTCTCTCAAGAGCCTTGTATAGTTTCCAAGAAACTCTTTTGCGCCTGAACTAGATTGAATGGGTTTCTGTTCCCTGCAAGTAAGTTACCCCTAGCATAAAGGGAATGAGCTTTCTAACAGGAACCTCAAAATCAGCACCATGGGTGACCCCTTCCCAGAGCACCTGTGCTGATTTCCTGTCATCTCATCCCTGAGATTAGGGTCAGAGGGTACAAGGCTGCCTAACCAGTGCAGCTGCTTCTTCAATGTTCCTTCCATATCACTAACCAATGAGCCAAAGAATACAGACCCAAGGGGATAATTCAGAGTGGGAAGAGGCCAGCTCCTGACTACCACCATCTGTGAATGAGAACATGCCAGAACTCAGGTAGGAGGCTCTGCTGGCCCTGTGGTCCAGGTGCATGCATGAGCGGTATATACCTCCACGTCAGCCCACCCCAGCCCACGCCCACCTGCAGACAACACTGTGCTCTGGAAGACCGAGCAGGCTTCCTCCCAGGGACTACAGCATCTAGGTGCCAATGTCAAGGAGGCTGCCTTCCCTACCTTGAGGTCACAGAAGCACGTCTGCCTCTTCTCCCACAGAGTTCTCCCTGGGTGTGCGTGGCAAATAGCCCAAGGGACTCGCTCTGTCAAAGGGGACTGCTTATCTAAATGTCAATTACCAGACGGTGTCAGTGTCCAGAAACTTCACAGCTGCCCGAATCACCTGATCCTTGCTGCGCTGAGTTGGGTTGTCCAAGGAGGTGTTGCACAGTGTAGTCTGAATCAAAGGCAGAAAGTGCCCATCACCACCTGGTGGGCTCCTCGCAAAGCCCTGTTTTGAGGGTACTGCAGCCAGTCACAGGTCAGGAACCAGACGGCACGCAGAAGCCTGGGTCCACAGCCCGGTGTCTTCAGAGCCAGGCTGCACGCCTGAGGGTCTGTGGATGCTCCTGGGACTTAAGGAGCTCCCACAGCAGTCCTGGGTGAGTGAACGGCCCCGAAGTCTCTGTCTTTTTATAGCACGTCTGCTGTCCTTCACTTAATCCTCACGACACCACTGTGGAGCAGGCACCATTATTTCCATTTCCAGAGATGTGGAAACAGGCCCCCAGAGAGGTAAAAAGTACCTGCTAATACAGTTAATAAAATATGCGGCACTCAGGGAACTCCAAGTTTTACCAGCTGGCTCCCTTAACAGTTTAAAACACAAGGAAACAAGTAGTCCAATCTCGGATCAAGATTATGTTTCCTGACCTGCCTTGTCAAGAATAGGTTTCTACTGTTACTCTGTTAGTTTGTAGACCTAATCACTCTAATTTTATTGGATAGTTCAGGAGTAGGCAGCGCTGCAGTAGGCTGTGAAGTTGTAGGAAGCTGCTTGGGTCTGTGGGTCCAGGCTGAGCACAGCAATGACCAGGATGAGAGCAACTAGCTCCGGTGCTGACTGAGTACCCAGCCTGTGCTACATCAAGGGCTTTTGTGTGTTTCCTCACCTAACCCTGACCACAACTGTTCATCGTTCACCTTTTGCAGATCGGGGCACAGAACTAAGAACAGGTAGCAACTTGCTGAAGGCCGCAGTGTGCAGGCTTAGAGCAGTGATGGCGAACCGTTTAGAGACCGAGTCCCCAAACGGCAACCCCAAACCTATTTATCAGAAAATGCCAACACCACAATTAAACCTGAGTACTGAGGTTTTAGTTTGGAAAAAGCAACTGTTATCTGATGCTCGGCTGCTGGGCCCACTTGGTTCATGTGCTGACAGAGAGGGCTCTGTGTGCCCGCTGCAGCATGTGTGCCAGAGGTTTGCTACCACGGCTCTGGAATCTGAACCTGAAGACTCTGGCTGACCTGTTCCTCCACTCTGTGCCCTGGTGCCTCAGTGAGCCTCCTACATGAGGGTCGGGCCAGCTCGACAGTCTTCCTCACCTTACCCATCTGGCTCCGTGGTTCCTGCATCCAACCAATATTTACTGAGCACCATTTGAACTCTCTGCCGGGACCGGCGAGTAAAGCAGACGTGGCCCCTGCCCTTCTGTTGCTCACCAGGCAGTGGAAGAGACTAACAGTAACGTGCAAACATAAAACAGACCATTGCAAATTGTCTAAGTTGGATGAAACGAATGACCAGCTGCTGTAACTGAAAGAGAAGTGGGCAGTGAGAAAGATGATGTCTGTCCTGAGACCAGGAACCAGTCACCTAGCACAAGCAAACTGCTGGTGGCCAGGCCAGACAAAAAAGGAGCTTGACCATTCCATGACTAAGAGCTGGTAAGTAGGACAGGAACCCACCTACCCCCACCCCCAGGCCCCCGGGCCTTGTCACAGTTCGGAAGAGTCAAAATTTTTGCCAGGTCGCCTAGGAAGCCTCTGGCAGGTATCAGAGGGTAAGTCTGCACTGTGAATTTGTTTACCAAGTGCATGGTGTAGAACTTGATGGTATCGTGCTGGGAGTCCCATTCAGTGGCCACTGCAATGGCCAGGGCCTCGCTGGGGACGGTAAAGAGCTTGGCTTGGGGAGTTTTCAGCTTTCTGTGGTCCAGGTTTATCTCAAAGCCACCTTGAAAGAGCAAATGAAAAACTTTCAGGGATTGTGAAGTAGAATTGAGTGACCATTCCTATATTTAGCCACTTGAATTGGTGCAGACAAAGACAAGCAAGTACCTTATAGAAACATCTGACAAAAGTGCAAAGGATAATCCCCCCACTGAACTGGCTGGACATGAAAAATGTTTCCCACCATTCACAGAAAGAAAGAAAGAAAGAAAGAGAGAAAGAAAGAAAGAAAAGAGTCAAAATTTCAGAGACTCACCTTCACCCTGTGTGATGCTGACATTCTGATAAAACCTCTTCCTTTCTGTAAGATAGATTTTTCAGAAAGCAGTTTAAAATAATGCCAAGAGGGCTCAGGAGGCGACAAGACCAGCTTGTATCGTTGCTGCTAATGCTGATTGATTGGCTTGATTTCCTACCACCCATTCAAGGTCTGCCCTGCTCTACAGTAATCAACAGCTTCTGATTAAAGCTGGAGGGAGGGGGCCTCCACTCTCCAAGGATGAAGAGGAACAGGACATGCTGGTCATGCCTGCCCCAGAAACCAAGCCCAAGGGCAAGTCTATCAGGAGCTTCCAGAGCTGCAGACTATGTGACCTGAGAGATTTCTCATATCCTCTGCTTTTACATCAAGGCACTTACCCCGCAACCCACCCTACCCTGTACTACCCCTAGGCCGGCACAATGTGCTGAATCTAAAATTGATGTCCCAAAAAAAATAAAATAAAATAAAATAAAATAAAATTGATGTCCCAATAGGGTGAAGCCAGATCCTTTTCAGGCAAGACTCTGATGCCTCAAAGAAGAAGTGAGGGAGAAACCAGTGCTCACGTGTAATTAACCTAATTAGCCACCTTGCTTATGTAGTCAACTCTAAACATTTCTTTCAAGAAGAGGGAAAAATTCTTAGCCCTTTTTTATTGTGAGAAAAGGTCTCACTAAGTTGGCTAGGCTAGGCTCGAACATGTGATCTGCCTGCCTCAGCCTCTTACAGCACTGAGATTATAGCTATGTGCCACCACACCCAGCTCTAAAGATATTTTTATGTTTTCCATAGCATGTCAGTTCCTCTCATAAAGGTCTAGTTCAATCCCTGGAGGGGGGAACCAGGAGAGGAGGACTGCAAGAAGTGGCAAAGAGAATTGCTTGTTTCTGTATATGTACTGAAGCACCTTCACAGGGAAAAGAGACGTAAAGGACACTAATTTTCCACATAACACTTTTCACAGGGGAAGCTTTTAGAAGTTGTTCTTTGCTTATCCAGCCTGTTTTCTTAGGACAAGCTTTTTAAATACAATACTTTTCACATCTCTTTCCCCCTTCTGCCCAGTACCGGGGGTTAAGCTAAGGGTCTCACATGTGCTAGCCAAGTGATCTGCCACTGAGCCATACATCCTCTGCTTTTAAAAATTCTGAGACAGGCTCTCACTAAATTGTCCAGGTTGTACTCGAACTTGGCGATTCTCCTTCCTCAGCCTCCCAAGCAGCTGGGATTACACACCCAGCGACCCAGCGCTGTCCCAGTCTTTACGGACCAGCTCTTTCTGCTAGTCACAGTCTCTAGGCTGGCCTTTTCTTTAGATCTCAAAAAACCTCAAGAACTACACCTCCCAGCATGCACCAAGAAGAGGAAGTGCTAGGAGCTGGCTCAACACCTTTATCTTTTAAAACAGTGCCATCTGGTGGGCCTTAAACCTTAAATCCAAATTCTAATGCTGGGCATCCCTCTGTCTGTAATCCTGGAGCCGCTTGGAACAGTTTTCAGGTATCAAAATCCTTTGGTCCAAATATATAAAGTACTAGGGGCTGGGGATTTAGCTCAGCGGCAAAAGCGCCTGCCTGGCAAGCGCAAGGTCGTGAGTTCGGTTCCCGGTACCGGAGAAAAACCAAAAACCAAAAAAAAAAAAAGAATGCAAATATATAAAGTACTCCTTCAGCTCAATAAGAAGAGAAACAATACAATTTAAAATGACCAAAAGATCTGAATAGACATGTCAAAGGGAATACACAAATGGGTAATCAGTACATGAAAAAATGCACAATAGCATTCATCACCACAGTGAGCATGTATGAAAATTCCACATTGAAACCCAAAATATTGTAAAATTAATATGCACCAATAAAATATAATTTTTAAAAACCATGAGCAAAAAATACTGCCCAAATTTGCAGAGCCTGTGAACAGTAAGAAATGAAATGTTCAAATTTTAAATTTTGATAAAGGCTTGTAATCAATCTTTAAAAAAAACACGAGACACCACTTTACACCTTTTAGTATAGCTATAATAATAAAAGACAGATTATAACAGGTGTTGGTAAAGATGTAGAAAAACTGGAACCCTAACACCCTGCTGGTGGAAATCTAAAATGGTACAACCACCACGGAAGTCTGGCAGGTCCTCCAAAAATTCAAAACTGTTACTATTTGACACAATTCTACTCTTAGGTAAATACACTCAAGAAAAATAAAAGATAACAGCCACTACAAAAACTTGTTCACAAATGTTTACAGCAGGACTATTCATAATAAGCAAAGGACAGACACAACTCACATGTCCATCAATGGATGGACAAGTAAAATGTGGTATATCCATAAAATAGAATGTTATTCAAAAAAGAATGAAATACTGATATATGATACAACATGAATAAACCTTAGGAACACGCTAAGTAAAAGAGGCCAGTTAAAAAGACTGAAATGTCCCAAACAGGGACATCTATTAGGAAAGAAAGCAAAATAGGAGCTGCCTAGGGCAGCAGGGACGGAAGGGGTAAGAGCACATGATAAAAGTGCAGACTTCTTTCAGGTGTGATAAAAATGTTCTACACTTGATTGTGGTAATTATTGCACAACTCTGTAAATACACAAAAAACTACCAGATTAACACTAAGTGAGTGTACTATATGGTAAGTAAATTATAGCTCAGTAAAGCTGTTTCAGAAATCCTGGCCAGGGCTGTGGGTATAACTCAGTGCTAGAACTCTTGCTAGTGTAAGTGAGGCTGTGTTCAATCCCCAAGAACTCCCCTAAACACACACACACACACACACACACACACACACACACACAATATCTGATGCTGTGGCACACACGTATAATCCCAGCTACTGGGGAGGCAGACCACAAATTTGACACCAGTCTGGACAAAGAGGCTTTAAAAAGGGGGGGGGGGTGGCACACACCTGTAATCCCAGCACTTGGGAGGCTGAGGCAGGAGGACTGCCAGGAGCTCAGTGCCAGTCTGGGCTACACAGTGAATTCAAGGCCAGCCTGGACTATACAATGGGGTCATGTCTCCAAAACAAAACAAATAAAAAAGTCTTAATTTTTTTTTTCCTGGCCAAGTATACAATATACTATTTTCCAAATTGCTCTTCATCTAGAGTAAGGGTTATTAAACTTTGTCTGTAGAGTCGGTCAATATTCTAGGCTGTGAGGACCAAAAGTTTTCTGTTGCAACTACTCATCTCTGCCAGTAGCTACAGAGAATAGGCAAATGAATGAGTATGGCTTTGTTCCCATAAAATGTTTTTGACATAAAAAAGCAGGCTGGACCTCTGGAATTAAGACTACACAATCTTCCTCAGACCATACTACCACCCTAGGAAAATGCTTCTGAGGTGGTAAAGACTCACACAATGTCTTGTTCAGGTGATAAGCAACTTGTAAAGAGTAGAGACAGGGCTTCTAGCCTTGACCTGGGTGCTTGCATTCAGTCAGTACGCTGCTTCATCCGAGCCCCTCCCCCACACAGTCAACAGCTCTGACAAGATGGTACAGGGCTTGAGAGACACAACAGCCTCACGTAGGTCTCCCTGCTGCACCACCTCCTCCTCCAACAACTCAGTGACCCCTTCATGACCCCCTTCCCCCTTTTGATAACATTCAATATTGCATGGCCGTTCCCAAGGGGCCAAGTTCAATCATTTTGCCAGTAAAAGTCTTCATCAAGGACCCACTTAGATGTAATCTTCCACCACTCCAAAGACATAAAATCTCACAACTGGTTAAGCTCTTTGTAGAGCACAAAGACCTTAGTGATGCAGGTATCCCTTTCTCACTGTGCCTCATTCATTCATTCATTCACTCGTTCATTCATTCACATATTCCTAGAGCCTAAAGTATAAACTACAAGTGTGTCACGGACAGGAAGAGAATTTGGTAGATTAAGTGCCACCAGGTGGAAAGCAAAGTTACTCACCTAAATTAACCCTTTGCTTTTGCCAAGTTGGTGAATTTCTTAATATGTACCTTATGCTTGTACCGTGTCTCCCCAGGATGCCCTCCCACTTATTCCAGATGAGGTCTCACCAAGCTCAAGCTGACCTCAAACTTCAAGGCTCATGTGACCTTCCCACCTCCCACCTCTTTCACCCTGGTAGCTGGAACGCAGGTGCTCGATGTCACATCCATTTCTTCTTCCTCTTTAGTGGCTCTTCATGCCCCACCTCCAGGACTGTCACTTGGCTCCCTGCTGCACCCAACCTCCTTCCCTATTTATATAAAATTATGGAACTTAACAGCCAAAAGGATCCTCACGAGCAACACAGAACTTCAATTCACTGAAGACAGTAAAGTAGTTATGGGCCCCAGATCGCCATCCTCACAGGTTCACCCAACACCAGATCCCAGATCTGTACTCCTGCTACAGTGCCAGACTGCCTGTAGAGTTCTGAATTTCCTAAAGTGGGCAGTGTTACGGCCAGGTCTCTCACACCTTGCTGTCACTTCTGGACATGCAATTACCTGCTATTCATCCTCCTCTCTACTGAATTTTCGTTCATCTGTCAAGGCCCAACTTAAAATGCCCTTTTGTCCAAGACCCTTTCTAGATCCTGAACCCCTATGATGGAAATGGATGCTATTTTGTGTTCCTACAGGCTTCTTTGTAATTCCTTTATCACAGTATGTGTCATTATAAACTATTGTTTGGACAGCATAATGTAACCTTCTGCACTTGCCAGTGAATAGCATTCAGCTAGGGACCGTATCAGTTTTGAAGACCACTGTGCAATTTGTCCCAGCACAGAAAAACCAACTGAACGGCAGCCAAGTGTCATTACTTTTCATTCATTGAAGTGAGTCAATCTTATTCTTACCCTAAAGTCTCTCTCCAGCAGCAGTGAAAGAGCCACTGCCGTTTCTGAGGCTTCACCACGGTCCTAGTGGACAAAGGGGGGATGGTGACAACTCCCACTCAGGAGAGGTTCCAGAGAAGGCAAGAGTTCTCCAAGGTCATTAAGACAGAGTGGTGGAGCCCCGCAGAGAGGGCGCGTGCGATGGAGCGCAGGCGGCTCCCTCCGGGCCAGGTCTTGCTCCGGGCACCGGGGACGCAAAGCGGTAGGAGGGTGCAGCCACTGCCCTCTGCCCTGTGACCTTGGAAATCCTGATCTGGAGCCCGAATTTCTCCTAAAAACGAGGAAGAGACCTGCTTCCCTTACTGAAGAGAGGAACGCTACACGTTTTGGCCAAACGCCACTGTACGGTGTCCCAACTTCGCGGGTCGCCCCGCCTTGCCTGGGCTCCCCTTTACATCTGTACAGGCCCCCATCACGCCCGAGCGACGTCTGCGCCTGGGCCCTGCCTCACCCGCTCTCAACTGCACGGCCCAAACCCACAGCTCGGTCCTGCCCGGCTGAGCCACGGGCCCAAAGGTAACGCGTCCAGGCCTCACCTGTCGGGGGCGCGTAGGCCCGGGCCGGAGCCTGGGGGGCGAGCGCCAGCCTCGCGGACGCGGTGGGGTCACCCGGGGACCAATTTAGGAGGCGGCGCCCCCGGCCCCGCAGCCGGAGGCAGCTCCTCCACATCGCGCCCGGGCACCCGGGAGGACGCGCGCGGTGAGAGACCCCGGCGCAGGGAACTGCGCGCTCGAGCTGTACGGAAACCTCACGGCGCCTCCCCAGCGCCCTCAGGCTCCCGTGGCCGCCGCCATGTTCCTCATGACACCTACGGCGCGCCGTCGCCGCCGCGCATCCCTGCGCACACCCCCAGTCAATCAGCATCACAAATGCGCCTCGCCCCGCCCCTCCACGCCGCGCTCGGGAAGAAGACTACGAATTCCAGAGGCCTCCTCGCGCGCCCCGCCACGAGCTTTCTCCGCTCGCCAATGGGCGCAAGCGCCGCGTGAAACTGCTCCCGCCCCCCCGGCGCGCCAGAGCCAATCGGAAGGAGCGGTGTGTGTGCGAGGACAAGTGGGGAGGGGGACCCAGCTCGGGACTGGGAGGCCCTTCTCGCAGGTCCCGGGGTCCCGGCGGCGGCCCGAGCGCTCGGTCCGCAGGCAGCGGGCGGGT